GCTACATGTGACTGGTAGTTACTATATTGGACAGGGCCATTCTAGATACTTACTATTTTGAGCAGTTGGCTTTGTGCAGAGAAAGGATTTTTAGAAGAGAATAGAGGAGAAAGAGCTGTTAACACCTTTGACAGCTCCTGGTTATACAATGGGCAGGACTACTGCGGTCACAGAGACCTCCAAGCCAGGGTAGCCAGGAACATGAAGTGTATTTAGGAAACATCCTGTTACCTGGCCTAGTTGGGGAAGGGGGTCATGCCTCGGAACAGAGCACTTAGCCCTGGGCTTTTCCCCTCCGTGATTCACTGGCTGCTGAGTGACAACTCATTGATTTTTCTCATTAGGCACTGTTGAGATAGGAAGCAGCAGCAGCTGGACCTTAGTGTACCCACCCCAGTTTCTTCTGTTTACCTTCTTTTGGTCAGATTGCTGCTCTGTGGAATTGTTCTGTACATTAGTTGGGCAAGAGTGAAAACACTGGACCAAAGAGTTCCTGTTTTACCTTCCTCTGCCCTGTTATCAGGAAACCAAGAGCTTTAATGAGCTAGTATTTCATCCTGAGTTTTAGCCATTAGAGATAGCAGAGTTGGAAGCTAAGTTCAAGGTGAGAAAATAGCCACATTGGCCTTTGTGACCTTGTTCACTCTTTAGGGAAGTCTGCATTTTGGGTTTTATTTAGGCAGTAAAATGCTCCTGCTCCTTTCTTGTCTTTTTGTTGCTTCCCTAATTTGAATAAAGCCCTCACTGACCAGGCTGTTTTGAGGGATAAGATGCTGGGAATACCCTTTTTTCCCAAGATAGGAATAGTAATCACACAGACTCAGTTGGATATAGATGAGCTATACATAGAATAAAACATCACAGTTTGAAATGATGAGAGTTCAAGGTTTGAAGGATTTTTTTTTTTTTTTTTTGGCTCTGAATGCCTTCAGCACAGGTTTGGCTGGCTTGAGTTGTGGGGATCAAACCACAGCAACCTGAGCCTGATTGCTTTGTTGAAGCAGGCACTTAAAGAACTGAGCTAAGGAGCAGGCCCCCAAAAAGGTCTTTTTTTTTTTTTTTTGTGGAACCAGGGATTGAACTCAGGTCCTTGTACTTGCCAAGGAAGCACTTATTCCACT